GGCTGGTCTTTGTGACTGTTTTCTAAAGAATAGAGTATGGAAAGGGGAAAATAGTGACTTCACAGCATAGAAACCTGGCAGCCACTACCTTCACCAAGTGATCAAGGTTGGTATCACCAGTGATGTCATGTATTCTCTCACAGGATGTGATAAGGACACTTCACCTCTGGTATTCTTTCCAGAAATCAATAGCCTTAGCCTAATGAGAAAAAGACAAACCAAGAATGTGTGAACAGTACTCTTCAAAAGTTTCAAGGTTAGCCCAGCTGGTGTGGCTCAGTGGTTGATCATTGACCTAAGAACTGGGAGATCAAGGTCCCATTCTTGTTCAGGGCACATGCACCAGTTGTGTCCTTGATTCCCAGTAGGAGGGCATGCAGGAGGCCACCAATCCATGATTCTCAACATTGATGTTTCTCCCCTCCCTTCCTCTCTGAAATCAGTAAAAACATTTAAAACATTTTTTTAAGGTTAAAACCAAGGAAAGAAATAGCCACAGATTTAAGGAGCTAGGGCAACTAAATGCAACTAGATTAAAACAAGTCCCAATAAAGTCTGGGGTATAGTTGATAGCTTTGACATATGTAATATGTACCATTTTAACATGAGTACTCATGGAAATGGAGAAAGGTAGACGAGACTACTAATTTCCCTATAAATCTAAATTTGGAGGTAAACAAGTTGTGACAGTCCAAGTCACAATTGTTAGAATTTTTTATGTATGTACACAATACCAAAAGAAGTTCACACTTTAAATATTCCAACTTAATACTTTCTTTTTAAAAAAATTTATTGAATATATTGGGGTAACAAATTATGTAGGTTTCAAGTATACCTGTTGTCTGCTTAATCCCTTCACCTTTTTCACTAAGCCCTCAAACCCCCTTCAGTCCGACAGTTGGCAGTCTGTTTTCTGTATCTATGTTGCTATTTTGTTCATTAGATTCCACAAATAAGTGAAATCATATGGTATTTGTCTGACTGGCTTGTTTCACTTAGCATCATAGTTTCGAGGGCCATCCATGCTGTCCCAAAAGGTAAAATTTCCTACTTTTTTACAGCCAAGTAGTATTCCATCCAAATAGCATACCACAGCTTACCCACTCATCTACTGATAAGACACTCGGGCTGCCTCCAAATCTTAGCTATTATAAATACTGCAATGAATATTGGGGTGCATGTTTTTTTTAATTAGTGTTTCTGGTTTCTTGGGTATATTTACAGAAGTGGAGTTGTGGGGTCATGAAGCAGTTCCATTTTTAATTTTTTGAGGTAACTCTATACTGCTTTCCACAGTTTCTGCACCCACTAACAGTCCACATTCCCACTAACAGTACATGAAGGTTCTCTTTTCTCCACATCTTCCACCAACACTGGTTGCCATTGTGATAGGTGAGAGGTGATACCTCATTTTAATTTTTATCTTCCTGATTAGTGACATTGAACACTTTTTCATGTCTCTTGATTATTTGTACTAGTATGTGCTCTTTGGAGAAGTGTCTGTTCAGGTCCTTTGCCCATTTTTTAATTGCATTGTCTTTCTTTGTTGAGTTGTATTAGTACTTTATGTATTTTGGAAATTAATCCCTTATCAGATGTATCATTGGCAAATATGTTCTCCCACTCAGTGGATTATCTATTTTGTTGATGGTTTCCTTTGCTGTGTAAAAATTTATGTTTTACAAAGGCAGTCCCATTTGTTTTTTTCTTTTGTTTTCCTTGCCCAAAGAGATATATCAGAAAAAATATTGCTGAGAAATGTCTGAGATTTTACTGCCTATATTTGCTTCTAGGATTTTTATTTTAAGTCTTACATTTAAGTCTTTAATCCATTTTGAGTTTATTCTTGCATGTGGTGTAAGAAGGTGGTCTAGTTTCATTTTTTTGTACATATCTGTCCAATTTTCCCAACACCATTTATTAAATAGATTGCTTTTACCCCATTGTGTGTTCTTGCCTCTTTTGTCAAATATTAATTGACCATAAAGGTGTGGCTTTGCTTCTGGGCTCTATTCTGTTCCATTAATCTGTATCTGTTTTTATCCCAGTACCATGCTGTTTTGATTACTATAGCTTTGTAATATAGTTTGATATCAGGTAGCATGATTCCTCTTAATTTTGTTCTTTCTCAGGATTATTGTGGCTATTCGGGGTCTTTTATGATTCCACGTAAATATTTGGACTATTTGTTCTAGTTCTGTGAAATACATCATTGGTATCTTGATAGGAATTGCATTGAGTTTGTAGATTGTTTTGAGCAGTATGGACATTTTAATTATGTTAATTCTAAAACTTCTGTTGATTCATTGTTAACCAGAGAGCATTACAGAGTCATTTGAAATATACAGACAACTTCTAAACCCACAGCTGGTTTCATCCAAATTAAGAAAAATGCTATGATTATAGCTACATGATGTCAGATTAGAATCGTTGAACAAGAAAAGCAAATCTGATCTTTCTAAAGATTTGAGGAAGTTACAAAAAATACCGCCCCCTCCCCAAACAAAAAAGAAAAAATGGTCATGTTAAGACCCAAGGCTTGCCCTAGCCGGTTTGGCTCAGGCCTGTGAACTAAAGGGTAAGGAATGGGCAAAGGGTGTGGCGCTTCCATGCCCTCACCCGGAGCTCCACTCTCCCAGCATCTCCACCTGTTCATCACCCAGAAGCTCTCCGAATGGAGTGAAACTTTCTACGTCAGTATTATTTAAGAGTATATTTGGCATCCATTCGGTCATCATTTTAAATGTTTTGTTATTTCCAGTCAAAAAGGCATCCATTGCATTATTACACTGTTTTATGATTAGAATGCTTGTTTGTAATTTCTTCTAGATGTTTCTTAAGTTTTAAAAAAATTAAATTTACTGGGGTGACACTGGTTAACAAAATTATACAGATTTCAGGTGCACAATTCTATAACACATCATCTATACACTGTATTCGTGTGTTCACAACCCAAGTCAAGTCTCCGTCGATCACCATTTGTCCCCCCCATATCCTCCTTAGAGAACTACCTTTTATTTGTAGTGACATATGTTCCCTAAGATGCTAGTGAATTAAAATGTAAATATGGTGATGTTTTGTATAATTACAATCAGGACAGAGAAGACTAGTACAGAGACGACTGATTTCACATGTAGTCCTGGGAAACAATCTGTACTGACGCAACACAACTTTGTTTATAAAGATACCCATTGATTCAGCTACTAAGGAGGGAAAGGGAAACTAGGAGACAATTTAGCTACCCACTCCAGCCTGCCCTATTCAGGAGATACTAAAATTGGTAGATCCTACGATACTTGAGAATTTCTAGCTCTAGGTCATTTGCTTTTGTTACTTTTATTTATAAAGCTGTCCAATTACATGAACAACTACTTCAGTTTCCAGAGATTTCACATGGAGGTCTATGTATAGTATTGAATCACAAGCCACATGGCTGTGTGAAGGTGTATTAAGGCTGTGGCAATTTAATTTAGAACGAACTTCATAAAAGGACCCATTGTATGATGAGGAATTAGTGTATTTTCAGACCCTGTGGAGCATGAGGGCATGTTCCTGGAGCATACTCCTTAGGATCTTTTCAGAATTCAAGTCCAGGAACACAGGGTTAAGCTTGTCTAGGGGCAGAGAGAGATACTCTCCTGTTGAATTCTAGTGTTTCAACTTAAACCTTCTATCAAGAGAACTCTACCAGGGGGACCCTGTAATGACTACTTTCTCTAGTAGTTAATTGTCAACATTGACTGCAAAGTATGTATCAGTGTGACCTTTACTAATTTGAAATTTTTTTTAAATTAAATAAATTTGACATGTAACATTGTGTAAGTTTAAGTGTTACTTTGATACATTAATATATTGTAACATGATTGTCATTGTAGCAATATTTATCATACTACATAATTATAATATTGTCTAGATCAGCAATTTTTAACCTTTTTTCATCTAATAAAATTCTGTGGCACACCAAAAAAAAAGAAAATCATACTGTTTGCCAATCTGACAAAAAAATAAGTATGACCAGCCAGTGTGGCTCAGAGGTTGAGTGTCGACCTATGAACCAGGAGGTCACGGTTCAATTCCCAGTCAGGGCACATGCCCAGGCTGCGGACTTGGTCCCCACTTGGGATGTTCAGGAGGCGGCCGGTCCATGATTCTCTCTCGTCATTGATGTTTCTATCTCTCCCTATTCCTTCCTCTCAAATAAATAACATTTTAAAAAATAGATATAATTTTGATTCATTCACACCAGATGGCTACTGTTGTGTTGGCTGTTGTCATTTTTTTATTTGACAATCTAAGGGAAAAGAGGTCAGTGCCCCTGACTAAATAGTCAGGTATTGCATGTTCTTAAAAATTCTTGTGTCATAAAGGTTGAAAATCGCTGGTTTAGATTCATTATACTGTGCTTTAGATCGCTATGGCTTATTTATTACTTGTCACAAGTCTGTACCCTTAAATACCATCACTCTTATCCCCACTCCCCAGACCCTGCTAACCACCATTTTACTCTCCATTGTTGTTGCTTTTAATAGGTATGACTTTTTTAGATTCCATACATAAGTTATATCATAACAATACTTGTCTTTCTGTTTGACTCATGACATTTAGCATAATGTGCTCACGGTCCATCCATGTTGCTGCAAATCGCAGGATACCCTCCTTTCTTATGGCTGAATATATATGTACAACATCTTTCTTATCCATTCATCTGTTGATGGGGACTTGGGGTTGTTTTTGTACCTTGGCTAATACTGCAATAAACATGGGAATGCATATATATATATATAAAGAATTGTAAGAGTAGGAGTCATTGCAAGTACTCTATCTCATATGATATTCACAGCTAAATGACTATCAAACCACATTTAAGAATGCTTTGGCAGTTTTTAAGAAACACTGGTCAAACCATAAATAAATCTCAATGCATCAGTTAATACCTGCTGTGTACCTCCTCCTGTAGTTGGCATTGTATTAGGTGCTTAAGTGCAAGTAGTTGGACTCAATCAATTTTAAAAATATATATTTAAGACATTATTCACAGAGTTCTTGGCAGAGTTGTATTTTGAGGTTTCTACTGCTGAGAAGTTTGAGGGTTGTGTTGCCTCTCTTTCAGTCCCAAAAGCTCCGTTTTGAGTTCTCCAGGCTTTGGTGGGATTTCAGGTATTGTCTATTTAAAAAACAAACAAACACACACACACAAAAAAACACACACAGAGATGCCAGTGCTTTCTTAGACTGTAATTAAATGTGACCTGAAAGACTTCAAAGCAGGTAGAGTAAAAGAAAGATCCTTGCTACTCAACAATAAATCTGTATCATGAGAACCCACAGTTGATCTAAGTCCCTCTCTAACCCTAATGACTCTATTATCCACACTGGGTTTTAAGTTCTAGAGAGGGAGAGTTTGCATCACTATCACAAATTTGAATACAATTTTCCATATTTGGAAATTTACTCCTGTACTATTTACTTACTCTCCACCTGTATCAAGCAGTTAGCAAAAAAAATATAAAACTACCTTCACAGCCTTTCCAGCGGTGATGACCTCCCCACGACAATATGCCTCTCACTGAGGATCTCCTCCACCCCTCTCCAGAAGAGGAGAAGCGCCTGGTGCAGAGCCCCGATTCCTACTTATGGATGTGAAATGCCCAGGATGCTATAAAATCACCACCGCCTTTAGCCAGGCACAAAGGGCAGTTTTGTGGGTTGGTGGCTCCACTGTTCTCTGTCAGCCAACAGGAGGAAAAGCAAGGCTTACAGAAGGATGCTCCTTCAGAAGGAAGCAGCACTAAACGCACCTCAAACCAAGACGAGAGGGAAACCATCCCAATAAACACATTTCGGAAAATAAATAAATAAATAAATAAATTTTAAAAAACTACCTTCAGAAAAGATGGTCAGGACAGGCCTGAGAAGATTACTTTTTTAACCACTTTAGTGAGATAATTCACATACCTACCATTCACCCATTTAAAGTATAAATTTAATGGCCTGTAGTAGACTCATAAGGTTATACATGCATCAGCACAATAAATTTTAGAACTGCACCCCCAAGACAAACCCCATACCCATCACCAGTAACTCCCATTCCCACAAAGCTTTCCCACATCCACACCACTGCCCTGGACAACCATTAATCTAGTTTTGGCTCAATAGATTTGTCTATTCTGGACAAATTTCATGTAAATGGATTATACGATATGTAGGCTTTTGTGACTAGTTTCTTTCCCTTAGCATGTTTTTAAGGTTCATCCATGTTGCCACATGTAAGTACTTTATCTCCTTCTAGGAACAAATAATGTTCGATTATATGGGTACACCACATTGTATATGTCCATTTATCAGTTTATGGACAATATGGATTGTTTCCACTTTTGGGTTCTTATAAATAATACTTCTATGAATATTCACGTACAAGTTTTTGTGTGGACAAATGTTTTCATCTCTCTCTAGAAGCACAATAGCTGGGTCATATGGTAACTCTGTGTTTAACTGAGGAGCTGTCAGACTTTTCCACAGCAGCTACACCCTTCTACGTTCCTAGCGGCACTGTATGAGGGTTCCAGGTTCTCCACATCCTCACCAGCACGTCATTAGCAAGGTGCGTGTTTTTTTAATTAATACCCACCATAGTGGTTATAGAGTGTTACCATATTGTGGAACAGTGCTTTTGTGGACCTTACATTCTAGTGGAGGAAACAAGAATAAAAACAAGTAGAGACAAAGGAATAAAATAATTGCAAATTGTGACAAGTGCTCTACGAAAGGACTGAGACAGAATAGCAGAGGAGCAATCCTTCTGAGGCTATCCTCATAGATGGAGGAGATATCTAAGCAGAAACTTGACATTTTGAAGAAGGAAACCAAGCCAAGGTCTGGGAGAAAAGCTCCCAACAACAGGAAAGGCAAGGCCTTCAGATGGCAAGAGGCTTGATGAGCCTGAGAAACAGCAAGGAAGCTGGTGTGGCTGCAACACGGGGGAAGGGGAGGAAATGCGTAAGGTAAGGCGAGTGGCAGGCAGGTGCAGGCTGTGTAAGAGCAGGACATGGCATTGCTCTCCATGCAACTGGACGCCGTCATCGGGTTTTAGGCCCAAGGCAGAAGCGCTCCTGGTTCGTTTAAAGATCCCTTTTGCTCTTGTGGGGAGGAGGGAGGGCGAGGCCCAGGGCCCTCCTGCACTCACCAGGTCCGGCAGGTAGTACCTGTGCACCACTTGGGACCCCGCGAACATGGCCAGGAGGCTGGCGGTGAACATCTTCAGGTAGGTGGTCCAGGGCACGCCCGCG